GAAAATAATTATTTTCGGTGTAAATCATTTATGATTGTACGTACCAACCTTTTCTTTTTTAGCGGGATCCTTATGCGGGTAACTTACTATAATTAACACAACTTACTATCTTTAAATAAAGGTGAAAATTTTTTTTTATATCTGTTATATACTAACGTAACGTACTTTAATAAAATTTATCGATTAGCCTGCAGTACAAAATTAACAGTGTCATTGTCACATTATCTAATCACGTCAATATTTGAATTTAAATGTAGCAATACGTAGTAAATATTGATTTTGTAAATTGATCTGTGATGATAGTTAAATAATGTGGAATTCTTGTGATAATTTTTGCTAACGCAGATTTTAAGAATACATGAATAAATATATCTTGAATGTACCCATTATAAGTTAATATAGTTAATATAAACCAAACATTTATAATTCAACCAAACTTATTTATTCATAATATCGTCGTTATGATCAATTAAGATCGATTGGTAAGTGATATTTTGAACACTAAATAGTGTGACTATTTATCTTATTGTTCTGAAACATTTGAATGAAAAGAAGATAAAATATCTGTGGGAAAAATGAAATGGTGTGGGAAACTAATAAAAATGCGATAAGGAAAAATTAAATTCATTTTTTACAAAATTTACAAAAACCATGTGGGACTGCCGAATATCTCTGTGAATTTACAATAATAATAATTACAGTATTACAGTATTACAGTATCTGATAAAAATTTACGCAGTAAAATCGATGATGACTAATATTGAACGGTGCACCATTTATTTATTTTCTTTATCGTTTTTTTTTTTTATACAAGGATTATTGATTATATTTCATATACAAATTAATAATAGCATATAAGTTTATATTATTGTAATTCTATAAAAACCTTATCTTATATAGAGTTAGGGAAGGTACAATTGCTATATAATTAAACTATTCATAAAAATTGGAAATCAAAAACGTTCAACGGCTTAGGGTTTGAGACATGAACCAGTCAAGTCCCTAAAGTGTCCGATAAAAGTAGTAGTATGTAATTACTATAGTATATACTGCAGTATGTAATAGTATGTAATAACTGGAAAATCTAATGTATAAATTTTTTTTTTTTTTTTTTTTTTTTTTTTCTCGGGTAGTAAATATGTACAGATTATTTTGATTTTGATAAAATATATACAAGCTCTATCTAGTTAGTTTGTACTGTAACAAACAGCTGTTGATAGGTATTAACGATGAGAAATAGTTTCGATCACAGCTTGAACTTTATCCGAGCTTGCCGGTTTACCGATATAACCGTTCTAAAACAAAAATAAAAAAAACTGTTAAAATACTGATAATGTTTATACCATGTTAATATATTTATGCATAAAATGAAAGAATAACATTTACCATGCCAGCATTTAAAAATTTATCTTCCCATTTATTAGTAGTATAAGCAAATATAGGGATTACTCGATTTTCTTCCTTTATATTTGTTGAATTCCTAATTTTCATGCTTGTTTCGATACCGGATAACTCTGGCATGTCAATATCCATAAATATTAGATCGTAAATATTTTTGGATAATAGATTCAAAGCTTCATTACCACTCGTTACACATGTTACTTGATGATTAAATTCTTTGCTTAGAATTTTCGAGAGAATTTTACCAGTTATTAGGTTATCATCAACTACTAATGATTTTATGATTGTTGGAATTTTAGATGGTGTGGATTCTGGAAGAGCACTAATAGCAAACGTTGTTGTCATAATATTTGTCATAGTATTTTTTTTATTAATTTTTATTATACGAAAAGGTTGTCAATATTCATTAGATGTGATATAATAATCACCAAAAGGGAACGTCAAAATATTGATGAGTGCTATGCACGATAATAAATTGTCTAAAATAGTTCTTAAAAGAATATATTTCGTTCTTAGTTTGATAAACAGACTAATAATTCAATATTTTTAATCCTTGAGACTAAGGATTTACATGTAAAATGAAAATATTGTATGAACTATATTTTGTAAAAACATTTAAAATATTGTCCAGGCTGTGTATTTATATCGTAACAAAAGGAATAAAGGAGGAATCTCAAGAATTTTATTCCTTTAAGAACTCGAAAGGGTTAAACTAAAGGTTCGTTCCTTTTATAATTTTTTTCTATCTGTGAAATTCATTACGTATTAGCATTATTTCCTTATCTGTGTTAAAGTTGCTTTAATTTTTTTTTACCTCCATTTTGTTTCACCGTTGATGTCATACTGATATCTTATAATAAAGCTTCTAATAGTAGAAAATCAAGTGATATACTGGTACCATAATTGCAGTATTTGGGTTATTAAATATTTAATGTAAACTCTAATAAATATATTACTATAAATTACTATAAACTACTATCACGAATATGTTACCATCATAAATGCAAATTTGACAGCACCAGCACCAACAGCGTGCGGCGTTCAAATGAATTGCTTTGTAAAACGTTTATACAGATTCTACGTTATATTGTGTGGCTATTAGACGATTAATTTTTCATATATGTCATCTTTGTGTTTAAAATTTACTGAATCTGGTTTTTCATTTGTACGATCATACATATTGATCATCGTTTAGATGAATTTTCTTGGAATTAAACAATTCTTTCGAAAATGCATAGTGCGTCATATGACATCAGGATTTAAAGAATAGCTTTTCTTTTTTGGTTATTTTATCAAACGAAACGTAATAATCAACTAAAACTTATAAAACATGCGAACGTAGCACTTTATTTTATTCAAAGTTTTTTTTTCATTAATTAGCATTACATTTTACTACAATATATTAAACTCCGATCCAATCATCTTTAACAATAGTATATAGGATAAAAAAATCTCTAAAGATCGAATTACTAAGAACAGACTAGTAGCAGTAGTAGTATATTACTATACCAACTTTGCATCTCATTTATATTTTTTATATTTTTAAAACAAAATATATTGTCCATTTTAAGAAATTTGTGGCAAACCGACTTCTAATGTAATTTCTTTATTTTCGCAAGAGAATGCTTTATCAAGATCGTGTGACTTCCTATTTTTGTAGGTTCAACATCGCATAAATTCATATGGCAGATCTCTATATAACAATAATGTACTAGATTTAATATAATCCTGTTTCTATGGTTCAGTTGGATTATATGTTACAAGCAATAGGTACGTCCTGGATAATTGGTTACTTTCACTTGTATCCAATTACCCAGAACGTAGCTAATTAATCCGACGTTCCCATAATATAAACTTTCACGTACTGTATTTATCTTAAATATGAAATCGTTTTATTACACATTAATAACTTTCACGTACTGTATTTATCTTAAACATGAAAACATGAAATCGTTTTATTACACATTAATAACTTTAACGTTAAAGTTAATTGGATATGTTCTGCAAGGGGATACGTCTGCTTTATCAGTAGCGTAAGTTTATTCTTTCAACCGTTTTTGCTCAAAAAAGTGCAACAAGGAAAGTTTTTGGGTTCTTGTCACACTGAATTATTATTTAATGGTTCTAGCATGTGTTATTACATTATTTTACATCAATGCATGAAGGCTTATTGCGGGGTTTGTTGATATTCTAACACGACCATATAAATTAGTAGCATTTTTCTAAAGTAAATACATGACATAAGTACATAAATTGATTAAAAATTTCTGCAATTTTTTCTCGGAGTATTTTAATTAATCGTTTACTGTAACTGAGTCATCAAAATTTTTTTGTCCTACAGAAATATTATCTGTACGGTCTCCAAGTACTCTGATTATAACTCGGTACTTCTGTTGGGCGATTACCTAATTAATATAATTAATAAATCATTACGTATTACGATCCGGATATCAGGACCGGCATCAATTTACCGCACGGGCCAATGCACCGCCATATTTCTTTGTAAAGTTAGTCGGTGTCAGAATTGGTTTCTATAATAAAAAAGTAAAAAGTCCCAAAAAAATACACTTCCTATACTGAATATATCCATTGCCTTCTTTATTTAACAATAATTTGCATTCTGCCATATTCCAAAAATAGCTCTTTTTGTGTAACTTGAATTACTAAAACTCATCTATCTATTCCAATGATTTTTATTGGTTAATAGATAGATCAATTATCATATGACTACGAATGAAAGGAAAAAAATAATTATCATATTAAATAGGAATATATATCTTTGTTTCGAATAATCTAGTTTGGGTTCAACTTTGTTATACTAAAACTTTTAATTAGTGTTATTTCGATTGCGGATTGTGCATATAACAAACACGTTTTTATTATAGTAAGGATATTCGGGTTATCTGCAAAAAAAAAAAAAAGCCTGTATCAAGTTTATTAAATATATTTATCCTATGAGGGATCAAAAAAAACGCACCAATTTTTTTCAAAATTTAATTTGTTTGCATATAATTTATATATAAACTTTAATTTAAATATTGTAAATAATAGATTTAAAAAAAAAATTGATACTGTATTATACAGTACTGTATTATACTGTATCATTATTGTATATAAACCTTTTTTTATTCTGTATTTTATAATTTATAATTAGATTTTATTGTTATCTACAGTTACTCAACATTCGCCAACTTTATGTCAACACTCTGATCAGGATATACTTAAACCCGGATCGAAGTTTTAACTCTTTGTACAATAAAATTAGATAGGATCTCACCCCAAATAATGGTGTAATGCAAGACTTGATTCATGTGAATTCCGAGTAAATGACAGATAATCTTTTCTATTATGCAAAAGTCCCCATAACTGTGGCACAATTGTGCTTCTAATTCTAATAAGTGGGAATTTTATAAACTTATTTGGCTTTATTGCATCAATGGTTTTGATTTTAATTTATATAATTGGATCGAGCCCTATTAATATAAAGTACGATAACATCCTTATTAGTATTAAAAAAGCACTTTTATGCCTTGCAATCTAATCAGTAGAACCTTTGGTACCTTTAGTGCATAACATTGTACGTACTAATCAAAATGTTTTGTAAATATCACTTTCCTTGTCACTTCGTGTCAAGGTTGAACAAAGTTAGATTTGGTTTGTCAAATCACATAGTTACATATTTTGTGTAATAGTATAATAGTATGGCTACTTAAACAAATAAGGAATTAGAATTAGGATTAACGAATTACTGCAAACTTAGATAATGAAGATAAACAAAACTAGTAATCATAGTTAATTACATTGGTTGACAAAATTGATTTGACTAATTAAAGTTAACTAATTTTTAAAAAATTAACTTACTCAAGTTAATTAGAGCCTGGTTAGTATATAAGTATGTGGAAACCATTAAATAATTTTATAAAAATAGATAATAAGCAACTTATAGTAAAACTATAAAAATTTTTATATATTGCAAGTATTTAACTTGATATAGCTAGCTAATTTAATATTTAAAAATTATTTTGATTAGATAATTATAATATTTAAAAAAAATAAATATAACTAATTTTGAATATAAAAATTTTATCTAAATGTTTATATTAAATAATAATTTAAATTATTAATAATTTTTTATATAAAAAGTTTTTACAAACCAATATAAGCTTTGTAAATTTATTAATTTATAATTTTTATAAATATTTTAGATACCGTATAACCGCGGGATAACGCGTAATTAAATGACCTGCGCGTTATTTATTTTGAAATAAGTGCTGATTTTTTGAATCGTACCCCTCAATCATAATAAAATTAACCGGAACTAGGTTTGATACTAAGTAAACCCTTGTCTCAATGCGAGAAACAACTTTTGTTAGGGTTCGAAGGTAGGCTTACTTAGTATTAAACCTAGTTTTGGAGCACATTTTGTTTTTTTTTACTTTTATTGAGATGCGCGTTAATTCGAAAACGCCCATGGGCGTTAATTAGAGACCGCATATGCTATTTTAGGGGTTCTGATTTTCGAAATAGCATTATTCCGCTATTAAATTTAATTTTTAAGGATTAATTTTTTAAAATTTTAAATTTAAATATTTTTTATAATTATTAATAGTTTTACTAAATTATACGAGTAGTGTTTAATATTATAATTGTTATATTTTAAAAACTAGCTAAATAATTAACACTAAATATTCTAAATAAAAATAATTAGTTTTTATATCAATCTAATTTTATTTTTAATACTAACTTTTAAACTGTAGAATTTTAACTTTAAATTTTACTAATAAAACTAATAACAAATACTATATTCAGCATACTGTAAAGTATTAAATACTAGTAATATAATTTAGTATTATTAATTATTAAAATATATTTAAAAAAAAATTTTATAATTAAATTTTTATAAGTTTTGTATATAAAATTTTTAATACAAGTTTTTATATTAAAATTAGTATTTAGAGTTAAAATAAGTTTTAAAAAAATTTTAAAAATATAAAGTATTTTATGTAAAGTATTATTTTTTAATAGAATAAAAATAACTAATTATATATTTTATATTTTTGTAGTTAAAGTTTTTATTAAATTTAAATTATAAAAACTTTATCAATTTAATATAAAATAAAAAATATAACTAGCTATTGTATAATATTTTATAATTTAATTTAAATAATTATTTAAAAAATCCATACTGTACTAGCTATTACCATATATTTATAATTTAACTAAAAAAAAATTTATTTGAACTTTAATTTTATTTTGAATTAATTTAGAATTAACCGGTGGTGAAATTCACCGGCCTAAGAATTGTTA